TTCGTAGGCGGGCGGCGTAGCGGGCGGCGTAGCGGGCGGCGTAGCCGACGCAGGCGACATAGCTGGCGTAAAAGTCGGGACGCCTTCGGTTCGCGTTCTTTGGTCTCAGGTGGGTGTGTAGCGGCCATTACACCCATCAGCTCCACTAGTATATAGGCTCCCTTCACTCTCACCTCAGTGCCAGATCGTACTTCGCAGCATGCAGTTCTTTCCAGCATTACCTTCCAGATTGCTCTCCCGGTTTCAACCCTGTCTGTCCCTGACCAGCCTGCCTCGCCTGCTCCCTGACCCTGCCTGTACCCGGACTATTCTGCCTCGCCTGCTCCCTGACCCTGCCTGTACCCGGACTATTCTGCCTCGCCTGCTCCCTGACCCTGCCTGTACCCGGACTATTCTGCCTCGCCTGCTCCCTGACCCTGCCTGTACCCGGACTATTCTGCTTCGCCTGCTCCCTGACCCTGCCTGTACCTGCGTTTCCCGTCTTGCCTACTCCTGGATCCCTCGCCTGTCCCCGACCGGCCCTTTGCCTACTGTCTGCCGGTTTGTCTTACACCAGAACTTTTCTGTGGAAACAAGTTTCAATAAAGCTGGTTACCGACTTTCCCTGGTCTCCCGTGTGTTGCATTTTGGTTCTCAGCTCGTTCGTGACATTAAGGACATTGAATTTAACTGATACAAAAATGAGGCTTAGATTTTGTTTGTAGTTCCAGTCTCAACTCTGAATCCCTCTTTTACAACAGGAGATAGATGTTGTGTATACAGAATAACTATAATATACAAGGTTTATTTATAAAGCACCTTTCAACACAAGGCAATTTCAAAGTGCTTTACAATTTTTTTTAAACACTAAGAGCATTAAGAGAAAGTGCAATGGAAACCTCTGCATATTTTCTGTAAATAAAAGTCGCCGGTTCAAGTCCCCGAACAGACCTAAATATGGAGTGTGGACTGCTACTTGGAGAGGTCCCAGTTCACCTCCTGCCCTGCCGTGGTGCTCTTGAGCAAGGCACCGGACACCCCCCTTCCCCCCTCACTCCCATTGCTCCCCGGGCGCTGTACAATAGCTGCCCACTGCTCCTAGTACTAGACTCCTGGTGCTAGGATGGGTTAAAAGCAGAGGACACATTTCACTGTGTGCTGTGTGCTCTGCATGTGAGACCATTACAGAGGGGTTCATCCCTCCCATTCTTCTATTACTAAACAACACATTTATTTTTGGTAAATTGTTCTTAGTTTTATAATACATATTTTATTGTCTTTCTAAGGCTTTCTTTATTCTTTGTTTGCTTTTATCCTCTTTTTACTTTACTGTTTTATATCTCACACAATTTTGTTTTTATTTCACATCTTCTTGACACATTTGAACAACTTAATTGCTTAGTGTAGTTTCCACTTTTACCACTATGTGTCGCCAACATGGAAAATGTTCAAACCCTACATTCATTGGCTTTTTAAAAGAGTTTGCATTTTCTGCAAAAGTATAATCAGACAACATCTTTCTGCTATAATAAAAAATGAAAACACATGTAATTAACTTGTTTAAGCTTAAAACACTGAACATTGAACTTCAACACTTTTTTATACAAAATTAAAAAAGAAGATGGAAATATCACTTTTCTGCTAAAATAATGTGGATAAGAACATGTTAACATTTAGGCTCTAATGAAATGTAAATAACATGGAGATTACACTTTGCGCTACATTTGAAATTAAAATGAACATAGAAATCACACTTTTCTGCTTTAATAAATCAGAAATAAGAAATCCTATATATGTCTTGGAAAACACAGCAAGAAATACACAAACATGAAAATTAAACGTTTCTCCAAAGATAAAATATAAATAACAAAGAAATAATATATTTTTGCTTTAACAAAGACGAAAAGAAAGACAAGTTTCCTGAAAGATTCTGAAGAAATATCCCTAATTTCACATCTTATACTTAGGTCTTTAGCAGAGGTGGAAGAAGTACTCTGATCTGTACTTGAGTAAAAGTAGAAGTACTCAGATCTTGTCCTTGAGTAAAAGTATAAGTACTCAGATCTTGTTCTTGAGTAAAAGTAGAAGTACTCAGATCTTGTACTTGAGTAAAAGTAGAAGTACTCTGATCTTGTACTTGAGTAAAAGTATAAGTACTCAGATCTTGTACTTGAGTAAAAGTAGAAGTACTCAGATCTTGTACTTGAGTAAAAGTAGAAGTACTCAGATCTTGTCCTTGAGTAAAAGTATAAGTACTCAGATCTTGTTCTTGAGTAAAAGTAGAAGTACTCAGATCTTGTACTTGAGTAAAAGTAGAAGTACTCTGATCTTGTACTTGAGTAAAAGTATAAGTACTCAGATCTTGTTCTTGAGTAAAAGTAGAAGTACTCAGATCTTGTACTTGAGTAAAAGTAGAAGTACTCAGATCTTGTTCTTGAGTAAAAGTAGAAGTACCAGAGTGTAGGAATACTCTGTTACAGTAAAAGTCCTGCATTCAAAATGTTCCTCAAGTAAAAGTATA